TAGGAAATGCCCACGTGTATCTCTACCCCATCAGAGCTATATCTAGCTAGGCCTTAGGTTGTAGTTGACACGGCCCTCTGCAACACATCACTCATCACAACCATTGCTCCAGATCAGCTGACTCTATTCTTGGTCAGCTAAGATTCATTTCCAGCAAACAGTAAGCTTACTGAGGGAGGCCCTTGCAACCGCTTCTTTCTTCCCTGACCTGGCAGGCCTCATGCTATCAACACCATTCCTCATGCAAGCATGCACTAGTTGCAGTCTTAATTAGTTTGTAAGAAATCTGAAGTCAGGGAAGACTCAGAATTGCTCACTCTCATATTTGTATTCTATGTTGGATAACTTTCAATAGCTCCATAAACAATTACCGGGGAGGGAGCTCTGTTCCATTGGAAAGATGCAGAAAAACCAGACTGATTTTAATTAGAGGCACAGTGTAAAGCTCAAAACAATTTACTGTAATGTGCAAGCATTTGCTGTTTTGTTTTGTTTTGATGGATTTATTTCTGATCTTCGCATTATGGTACCGATCACATTTGAAAGGAACTAGCCAAGAGACCGTGTGCCACGTGCCCATCAATGTATAAAATGGGTTCAAACGATTTATGAATCATATAATCAACTGGAATCTTGGCTTATAGAAAAAAATAATGAAGGAAACAGAAGAAAGCATTGTTTATTTCTTTAGTTTTGACCCAAGATATTTCATCTTACTTTGAGGGTTACGTAAGTGATGTTTCCAGGATGTTCAGGGCTTTCTTTTTTCTCCTTTTTTCTCAAGGGTCTGGAGAACCAGCCCTATGAGGAGCGGCTTAAGGAGCTGGGCATGTTTAGCCTGAAGAAGAGAAGGCTGCGAGGAGATATGATAGCCATGTATAAATATATAAATATGTGAGAGGAAGCCACAGGGAGGAGGGAGCAAGCTTGTTTTCTGCTTCCCTGGAGACTAGGACACAAAACAGTGGCTTCAAACTACAAGAGAGGAGATTCCATCTGAACATGAGGAAGAACTTCCTGACTGTGAGAGCCATTCAGCAGTGGAACTCTCTGCCCCGGAGTATGGTGGAGGGTCCTTCTTTGGAAGCTTTTAGACAGAGGCTGGATGGCCATCTGTCAGGGGTGATTTGAATGCAATATTCCTGCTTCTTGGCAGGGGGTTGGACTGGATGACCCATGAGGTCTCTTCCAACTCTTTGATTCTATGATTCTATGATTCCTTCACAACAGTTTCCATGATGGCTTTCCAATTCACCTTTCATCATGTTCTTCTCTTCCATACAATTTTCTTCAAATTCAATTTTTCCACAACCAAATTCATCATAAAACATTTGAAAAATCAAACAAAAAAAAACACAGCAGCTTTCCAAATTAGGTTCATCTGAAGAATGTATGACTATGTACACAAAAATTTGCTCCAGACTAAGTTTTGTGACTGCTGGGAAGTACTACCAAGAGGCTTAGTCTTGCCGCATACGTTACCTCTTCCCGTATGTTTTATCCTCTACATCCCACTCATCCTTGCTCAACAGGGATTTTTCCCCTCTCTTTCAGCCTTCTCTTCTTTCTCAACCTCCACATGTTAGAAAGTAGAAATCCTCTTTCTTTGTAGAGAGAGAACTATCTGTACACCCTGCAGAATGAAATATAGCAGGCTTGAGGACCTAGACATTCCTAAAGAGAACATATTAATCCAATCTGCAAACGTTGAGAGCCAACTGTAGTTAATGTTGCCACCTAGAGATCCTCAAGAGAATTGAATCTCCCAGGCCTTCCTCTAAGTATTTAGAGCAGACAAGAGGCACCTAATGCCAAAAGATGATAGTGCAGCCTACAATGGTAACAACAGGGCTCCACAAAGTAGAGAGTTTTCTCAAAAGTAGGATGCCTTGTGGTTTGGTCTAAATGCTTACTGATGGGTTTAGAAGTGCTTTCATTTCCACTGCTGTGTAGCTCATCTTTCTGTTGAACTTCATCTCTTCTTGAATCTAGGTCTACATGGATATGTGGATGTTTATATATCCATGCACAAAAACATACAGAAAGCTGTGGACAAGTCTACATAGGGACCACCAAACGCAGTATTGCCCAAACACGAATCAAGGAACATGAAAGGCATTGCAGACTACTTCAACCAGAGAAGTCAGCCATAGCAGAGCATCTGATGAACCAACCAGGACACAGCATATTATTTGAGAACACAGAAATGCTGGACCACTCTAACAACCACCATGTCAGACTACACAGAGATGCCATTGAAATCGACAAACATGTGGACAATTTCAACAGAAATTAGGAAACCATGAAAATGAACAAAATCTGGCTACCAGTATTAAAAAACTCTAAAATTACAACAGCAAAACAACAGAGAGGAAACATTCAGGCACATCTAATCACCTCTCAAGAAAAGATTGCTCCAGGCACTGCCAGGCCATCAAATCAAGGTGGTCAGCTAATCAAGGTGGTCAATTGAGACATTCACACCTAGCTCCAGCAGACAAGAGTCCTTTGTCCTACCCTGGTTATTCCACAGATATATAAACCCTTTTCCTAGTTCCAACAGACCTCACTACCTCTGAGGATGCTTGCCATAGATGCAGGCAAAATGTCAGGAGAGAATGCCTCTAGAACATGGCCATATGGCCCGAAAAAACCTACAACCACCCATAAAGAAAGTAGATGAAAATGACTACTCTGTATTACTTGCTGTTTTCTCTTCTTTGCTGAAATAGCAGCTCTTTGTACTTTTATCTGGTGGATCTGCATGATAATCCAGTTCAAAGCAGATATTGTGGGACTTCCTGCCTTGATATTCTGGTTTATATTACTGTGTGGAAGGGCCCTGAGTGTTCTGACTTTAAAGATGGGATAAAATGTATATAAGAACAAATAGCCTGGAAGCATGATCCCCAAAGCTGTGGCTTTCCTATTTCTGGGGGAACTCTATCCATTTCTTTGTGGGAAAGGGTGAGAGAGGAAGTACAGTTGTAAACAAGGTACATTCTGTAGGTTTGTTCTTAAGTTCACTTTGTCTGTAAAATTGGAACAGGTACTTTTGTAAGTGTAAATATAGCACAATACCAGAAGTAAACTTCACAACCTGCAGATGTGATGAGCTGGGATAAGCTTCTATTCCTTAGAAGGGCTCAGGATTGCAGAGTCAGAACTTTAGGTTAAAAGATATTTATTGAAGTAAAAGAAATACATTCTAAATAGAGAAGATCTTGCAGCTAACTAGCTTACTAAGTCTCATGTTCTAAAGAAGTTAAAAGGGTAAAAAGTAAAAAAATCCATGCATCTAGATTTTGCCTAAAGAGAGAGGCAAAATGAGCCCTTACTGAAAGAAAAGGCAGAAGAGACAATGGTGGAGACCATGTGGTCAACCCAGGGCAATAAAAGGAAGTTCCCTCACAGAATTCCATTCCTACTTATCATAGAATCCAAGAGTTGGAAGAGACCTCATGGGCCATCCAGTCCAACCCTCTGCCAAGAAGCAGGAATATTGCATTCAAATCACCCCTGACAGATGGCCATCCAGCCTCTGTTTAAAAGCCTCCAAAGAAGGAGCCTCCACCACACTCCGGGGCAGAGAGTTCCACTGCTGAACAGCTCTCACAGTCAGGAAGTTCTTCCTAATGTTCAGATGGAATCTCCTTTCTTGTAGTTTGAAGCCATTGTTCCGTCCTAGTCTCCAGGGAAGCAGAAAACAAGCTTGCTCCCTCCTCCCTGTGGCTTCCTCTCACATATTTATACATGGCTATCATATCTCCTATCAGCCTTCTCTTCTTCAGGCTAAACATGCCCAGCTCCTTAAGCCGCTCCTCATAGGGCTTGTTCTCCAGACCCTTGATCATTTTAGTCGCCCTCCTCTGGACACATTCCAGCTTGTCAATATCTCTCTTGAATTGTGTGTGCCCAGAATTGGACACAATATTCCAGGTGTGGTCTAACCAAAGCGGAATAGAGGGGTAGCATGACTTCCCTAGATCTAGACACTAGGCTCCTATTGATGCAGGCCAAAATCCCATTGGCTTTTTTTGCCACCACGTCACATTGTTGGTTCATGTTTAACTTGTCCACGAGGACTCCCAAGATCTTTTTCAGAAGTACTGCTCTCGATGATGCAAGATTCTGAAGAAAGACACCATAAGACCAGGATTCAAGTCCCTGTTCAGACACGGAAGTCCACTGGATGACCTTGGATAGCTCACAAAGTCCCAGTCTTCTGAAATCTAAACATGCCCAGCTCTTTAAGCTGCCCCTCATAGGGATTGTTCTCAGACCCTTGATCATTTTAGTCATTTTAGTCACCCTCCAGCTTGTCAATATCTCTCAGAATTGGACACAATATTCCAGGTGTGGTCTAACCAAGGTAAATAGAGGGGTAGCATGACTTCCCTAGATCTAGACACTATACTATTTCCTTTCCATCTCGAAAAGGAAAGCGCTGTGGTTCTCCAGAAGTTGGGATCGAAGGCAGCAAACAGCAACCAGCAGAAGTAGGGAGGGATGATGCTGTTGGCAGGGAATGGTCGATCCTGGAGAGAGGAGTGCGTTTATCTTTCCGAAGGAGAAAGTTGGCGATGGACAGGGTCGAGTCCATGGAAAGGAAGGCGGAGGGAGGCTTGGGGGCCTCTTTCCCGCCCAAAACCTGAGCCAGCACCGGGCGCTTGGGCGGATTCCTTCCTTTCGGCTGCTGCAGTCGGCATCGCCTCTTTCCCCCTTTTCTCCCCCCAAAGGCAACGCATCCCGAACTGATTCCAGTCCACAGATTTCTCCTCAAACGGATTCCAACGCTTAAGAAAAAGCCAGCCTTGCAAACGAGCCTCTCCCTCCTCCTCTTCTTCTTCCCTTTCTGGGAACCCGCGCGCCACAGCTCGAGCGCGCGCCCGTGACAGGTGTTTCCCGGGTTGCAAACAGAGAGAAGGAGGAGGAGCGGAGTGGGCGGGGCTTACTCTTTGAAGAAGCCCAGAGGGGCGGGGCTACGGCTGTTGGGTCCCTCCCCCTCCTCAGCTGTGTTGGATTTTGGGGAGGGGAGAGAGCGCGCGCGTGAGAAAGAGTGTGTGTGTGTTTGTGAGAGAGAGAAAGAGGGGAACGCGGCTGGTTCATCTGCGCCGCCGCCGCCGGAGTGGTTGGGAGCCCATGGCATTGGCGCTGGGAGGCTTTCCCCGCTCCGTCAGCCGCGGGAGGAGGCAGCAGGGACAAGCGACGACGCGACAACTCTCCTCAGCTCGGGGGGCCTCCTCGGTGAGAAGTGCGCGAGGCGGAGGCGCGCGCCTCGAACTGCGGCGGCAACTTTGGGGAGTTCTTTCCGGGCGTGGGAAAGAGGGCACCTGGGCGCCTGAGGGGAGCTGCTGCGTCCTCGCGCTGACGCCCGCTTGGAACATGTAACTGGGGAAGCGCGAGAGGAGGCACGCGCGCACACACATATCCAGAGAGAGAAAGAGAGGGGTCTTGCTGCTACTGCTCCTTCGCCGTCTCCTTCTTCTTCTTCTCCTCTCCGAAGATGAAGCTGTCCCTTCTCCTCCTCGGCTTCCTCGCCGTCGCCGGGACCCTCAGCGCCGCTCAGTCAGGTGCGTCCCATCCGTAGAGCGGTTTTCTTCTCTCCTTGGCGTCCCTTTTTCCCCAAAGTTGCCTCGCGCTGCTTCCTTCGAGGGCTTTGACCTGCGGCTCGCGCGTGGCCCGGCTTGGTGTCCCCCTCCCCTCCCTTGATTATGTTTCCCCAACTCAGCAAGAGCTCTCCTTCCAACCCGATGATTGAGATGCTGTACAGCTGTGTCCTTATAAGATCCACCTGGAGCTGGATTGTAAGGCAGTGTAGAATCAGATCCACCCAATATCAAAAGCGGATATTGGGGATTGTCTGCCTTGATATTCTAGGTTATGTGGAAGGGCCCTGAGTGGCTTGGGACTAGGACGTTTGAAGAGCCCCCTCTTCTCATATGGACATTCTCCATCACCTTTGAGGGCAGAATGTATATTGCCACAATGCAATTAGTAGGGGATACTGGCTATACTTTTCTCAGGCTTTTGGGAAGAATATAAACTCATTTGAAAGATGCTGCTGGACAATAAATGGGGATTGTCTGCCTTGATATTCTGGGTTATATGGCGATGTGGAAGGGCCTTGAGTGGCTTGGGACTAGGACGTTTGAAGAACCCCCTCTTCTCATATGGCCATTCTCCATCACTGGGTTGTTGTAGGTTTTTTCGGGCTATATGGCCATGGTCTAGAGGCATTCTCTCCTGACGTTTCGCCTGCACTTTGGCAAGCATCCTCAGAGGTAGTGAGGTATTCTCCATCACCTTTGAGGCCAGAATGTATATTGCCACGATGCAATTAGTAGGGATACTGGCTATACTTTTCTCATGCTTTTGGGAAGAATATAAACTCATCTGAAATATGCTGCTGGACTATAAATGGGGATTATCTGCCTTGATATTTTGGGTTCTATGGCTGTGTGGAAAGAGGCACCAGAGAGCCCAGTTTAAAGCAAATATCTGCCTTGATATTGGGTTGTTGTAAGTTTTTCGGGCTATATGGCCATGTCCTAGAGGCATTCTCTCCTGACGTTTCGCCTGCATCTATGGCAAGCATCCTCAGAGGTAGTGAGGTCTGTTGGAACTAGGAAAAGGGCTTTCAACAGACCTCACTACCTCTGAGGATGCTTGCCATAGATGCAGGCGAAACGTCAGGAGAGAATGCCTCTGGACCATGGCCATATAGCCCGAAAAACCTACAACAACTCAGTGATTCCAGCCATGAAAGCCTTCGGCAATAGAATATAAACTCATTTGAAATATGCTGCTGGACAATAAATGGATCTGGGGATTATCTGCCTTGATATTTTGGGTTCTATGGCTGTGTGGAAAGGTTTAAAGCAAATATTGTGGGTTATCTGCCTTGATATTGGGTGGTTGTAGTTTTTTTCGGGCTATATGGCTATGTTCTAGAAGCATTCTCTCCTGACGTTTCGCTGCATCTATGGCAAGCATCCTCAGAGGTAGTGAGCCACACCTCTACCTCTGAGGATGCTTGTCATAGATGCAGGCGAAACGTCAGGAGAGAATGCCTCTAGAACATGGCCATATAGCCCGAAAAAAACTACAACCATCCAGTGAGTCCAGCCTTCGACATTGCCTTGATATTATATGGTCTCATGCTCAGCCTTTTCTCTGGGCCCTTCCACACAGCCATGTAACCCAAAATATCAAGGCAGATGATCCCCAATATCTGCTTTGAACTGGGTGATCTGAGGTCCCTTCCACACAGCTGTATAAAATCCCACATTATCTGCTATGAACCGGGTTATATGGCAGTAGGACTCAGATACTCCAGTACAAAGTAGATATTGTGGGATTTTCCACCTTGGGCCCTTCCACACAGCCCTGTATCCCAGAATATCAAGGCAGCACATCCCTCAATCTCTGCTTTGAGCTGGGTGATCTGAGTCCACACTCAGATGATGTTGGATTTCCTGTTTTGATATTCTGGGATAGAGGGCTGTGTGGAAGGGCCCCGAGTCCCCACTGCCATATATATAATTCAGTCCAGTGTGTATTTCATATAGCTGTGTGGAAGGGGCCTCTGTCTTTCCTCCCTTTCTTTTTTTGTGCCAAGGATGGCTTGGCACCTGTGGCTTTGGCGGTTGGCGATGAAGAGCCGCGGGGCTTGGCAGATGGGAGCCCTCGGAAGGAAGGCCTTTTGCGGGGTGCTGGTGTTGGAAATCTCACGGGGAGGGCCCGATCCAGCTTCTTCCCACTCTCCCCCCTCCCCAAAGACTCCTTTTCCTTTCCCAGCATGGCCGCGGGAGATTTCATACCTTTCCCCAAAATATTTTCAAGAAAGCCGAACTCTGGAGGGAAGCTGTTGCCGTCGCGGAATATAAATGGGGAAAGGGAGGGAGGGGGGGGGTACTACCACATTTACTATTACCTCCCATTCAAGGGCGCTTTTCCCTTCCCTTGCGTGATTCCCCGAGTTTTTTGGCGTCCTCTCAAACTGGAGAAAAGCGGAGGAAGAGGAGATTCCCGGCCGCCTCCAGCAAGAGAAGTTGGGGACACTTTGCCTTAGTCTCCGGGAGAAACGGACCCATCTGAACTCGCGGGGGGGGGGGGGGGTCACAAAAAAGGGGCTCCAGACTGAGGCCAAGGCGGCAGGGGAAGCAAAGGATGGAGAGGAGAGCTGTCTCCATTTGGCAAGCGTCCTCTCCTCCACGGGAGACCCAGGAACTCCAGCTGTTTTGCAGAGCAGGGCTTTCCCCTTTCTCCAGCCAAGGCGTCCCTCTCCTTAGCATCATCGTCGCTTAAAGGCGGCTTCCCCGCGCAACAATCTGGATCCCGGGTCGCTGCTTCGTTGCCCGATGAGTCCCACTTCGGGATCTGACTCCAGAGTTGTTGCTCTGGGCTCCAGAGAAGGCGAGAAGAGTCCTGAAGGTTTTCCCCATCTTCTCCTGGCCTTGGCTTTGCTTTTCCCGTTCAACTTTGTCTCCCCTGCTTTGATTTGGAAAGGGGATGCCTCTGGCTGGATTGACACTGCCATATAACCCAGTTCAATGCAGTTAATCTGGATTCAGAGTAGATGGGGCCTCAGAAGCCAGGGGTGAAGCCTGACCTCCTTCCTACCTCTGCCACAGGCAGCTCTCACCTGGGTGCCTGATCTCTGGAAGTTTGAGGATGAATCTGCTGCACCTGTTCACACTCTTGCTCTCCCTTCCTCTCACTTTTTGTGTGAAATACTTCATATCATGCTACTAACATGTGTAGCACTGTCCTGGTCTTTTTCGTCAGGGGTGGGAATGTCTTTCCCTTGTTTTTATAATGTGGGGTTCAGATTTGAAGGAAGACACATTGGGAAATGGTGACTTTGCAGATACCTATGTTGATAAGTTATTTGCAAGGGTAATAGTGCCAAGGTATGTGTGTGTCCTTAGAGAAGGGAACTGAAAAACAAGCCTAAAGGTGTTTTATTCTTTTTTTGCTGGACCATTTCTGGGGCTCCATCAATTCCTCCCTAGGGGAGACGAGGATAGTTGATGCATATATCTATGGTTACCTGTATATTTGTATTTTATTTTAAGAGGACTAGATGTATGTTGCATGTCGTGTCTGCACTATCTGTTTTTGATAAGGCCAACTGGCTAATCAATAAAAATTCTTGTTGTTGTCGAAGGCTTTCATGGCCAGAATCACTGGGTTGTTGTAGGGTTTTTTTGGGCTATATGGTCATGTTCTAGAGAATGCCTCTAGAACATGGCCATATAGTCCGAAAAAACCTACAACAACCCATTGTTGTTGTTGTTGTTGGAATGAAAGCGGAGCAAGTTCAACTGCAAAAAGGAGAAACTTGTGTACATGCACACACATTATGGTAGTCATGAGGATGTCTGCCATAGATGCAGGCGAAACATCAGGAGAGAATGCCTCTAGAACATGGCCATATAACCTGAAAAAACCTACCACAACCCAGTGATTGCAGCCATGAAAGCCTTCGACAATACATATGGTAGTAAAGATGGCTAAAAGGGAATTCTGTCTTACTCCAAAGCTTGCCCATGTCTTTTCCTGCAGGGACTAATAAAAAGCACCATTTTGGTTTTCTCAGTGTAAAAACAAAGGTTCTCCTGACTACATTTCACTGGAATTGCCTGTGCCTTCTTCATACAGTTTCCCCATCCGTTTCACATCTGTGTGGAACACCTTCCCCATGGATTGTGCCTTTCTTGCTGGGGGCCCATTCAACCACAGCAGCCTCTGTCAAGCTCCCTGTGTGTGAACCTCCTGGTAAATCTGCCCAACAAGGTTTTTCTTCCCCTCTTCCCTTCAGCCAGTGGCAGTTTGGAGGAGTTTGTTTTGGTCCAAATGAAAAATTAAGTGTGGATAAGTAAACTGAGCTGCCAGAGGGCGACAAGATGTTGAGTGAATTGCTTTTAGATGAAACAAATTAAGGAAACGAGGGGAGACAATCTGCTTCTTGCATTATTAGACACGGTTTGGAGTTTGAGGAGGGGGGCCAGTGGCATATTTTTGAAATGCTAATTTCTTAAGAAGTCAGAGGAATGCACCTTATTTACTGCTCCATGTGAACAGCATGGGGAAATAGCTCTTTCTCTGTTTCATTTGTGTTTTGTTACAGTAAAAGAAAACAGGAAGTAAATTTTGTTTTGTGTTTATTCCTCTGATGGGAACAAAAATTATCCTTGCCATTTTTGTTCTCTTCCCCTCTTGACTAATGTATTGACAGACTTGCATGCTTTGGGCTATATTCCAAAGGAATGATCTTTCTGGGATGTTTCGTGATTATCAACCTAGTGCAGAAAATATTTAAATCTGATTATTGACTTGTCAGGCCCTACAGTATTGTAAAAGCAAAATCCACGAAGAATAAGAATGCTTTTTACTGGACCACGTGTGTCAGAATCTTGTCCTCTTCTACGTGAGTGAAGTGAGGCTGTAAAATGTATCATTTCACCACATTCCTGGAATTACGGAAATATGATTTCATATTTGATAATGAGGGATATTCTTATAACTGCAAAATTTACACTGTACTTTATTAAATATGATTAGCATG